CCCCGATGAGGGCCCCAGACAAGCCCACGGAGAACGTGCTAAGTGGAGGGCTTCTCAGAAGAGGGCCTGTGGAAGTGCTTCCATTGTTTGGGTCACCTTCTGGCCAAAAAACCATGTGAGAGTGTCACTTCGTCTTGGAAATGCTTTTATAACTTCTTCAAAACTTTCCAAATGAAGGCCCAGCCTGTGTGGCTCAGGGGTTGAATGTCACCTCACGCACCAAGAGATCGCTGGTTCAACTCCGGGTCAGGACACATGCCCAGGTTGTGGGCCTGATCCCCAGTGGAGGGCACGCAGGAGGCGACCGATCGAGGGGGCGTACAGGGGGCAGCCCATCAATATTCTCTCTCATCGATGTTTCTATCTCTCTCTCCCTCTCCCCTCCTCTCTCTAAAATCAATAAAGAAAACATATTTTTTAAAAAATAGCAAAAAAAGCTTTCCAAATGAAAAGTGTGAGTGATTCAAAGTCCTTGGTTTAAAAGTCTAAAACTCAAACACGTGTTGATTACTTCACAGTAAATAGTCTGCCATCAGAGTAGATGGAAATTTTTTAGCCAGATTTCAACAAAAACCTTTGCATAATTGGTGAATCAAAGTGAATAAATGAGCGTCGGGACTTGATGTGACCCGCATGGCCCTCCCTCCACTCGGGGTTTCTAGGTTGGAAGCCACCTTCCCAGCCACCAGCGCATTAACCCAACCGCCGGCCTGGGCTCAACCTGGACACGAACATGTGCATCCCTGGATCTTAAAACAATATTTAAAATGAAATGTTCACTGTTCTTAAAAACACGAGATTAACATTTTATCATTAATATCTTTAAGCTGTTTGACCTCATTTTAAAACTGCTGTTTTCTAATAAAATGTGGGCATGCACAAAATGTTAAACATGCACATGGTGGTGTACCTCCAGACACTGCTTATAAGGGTTACAACCAAAATGGTTGATTATTCAGGTTAGAATCTGAAGGCAGGTATCTATGAAGCTGAAAACATTCCCTTTTATTTTATCAGTTTCAAATGGGCCAGACCGGCCTGCGGCCGCTCCGTGTGCTCCACAGTGTGACTCTTCCATTCCCCAAGCACCTGGCCGTTTCTACAGGTGGCAGCAAAAAAAAAAAAAAGGAAAAAAAATTACATAATGGAAGCTCTCCCTTTTATAAAATCAAAGGCAATTCTGGGTTGATGTTTTTTCTAAAAACATTACAATTCAAGGGTTTTCAAAAGTCTAAAGGTTAAAAACACCGGCTGCCAAGAACAAACGCGGACCCCATGGACCCAGAGCCTGTTGCAGGTGCTGCAGGAGTATTCGTTCCTCTGCCTCCAAGGCCACGCGTAGGCTTGGGCTGGAGAACCCCCCGGGTTTCACTCATGAAGGCCCCTGGAGACTCCACATTTCAGGAGAAAACCTGATTGTTTCCTTACTATACAGGTCGCCCTGTGAAAATGACACAGACCTTTCCTTGCTTTGACTCTTGACATCATCAGAAATGATTCTTACAATTCGCTGCCATTGAAGCTGGGTGGTGTCGACTTTATTAAGCAGTCAGAGGCTGGGGAGCTATGCTGATTTCGCAGCCAACCATTAGGTGACTTTGAACCGCTTTTCACCTCGCTTACTTTTCCTCTATCCCAGGAGATGCAGCGGTTCTCAACCTGTGGGTCACGGCCCCTTTGGGGGTTGTATGACCCTTTCACAGGGGTCGCCTAAGACCATCAGAAAACAAAATTACAGTTATGAAGGAGCAACGAAAATAATGTTATGGCTGGGGGTCACCACAACAGGAGGGGCTGTATTAAAGCGTTGGGCGTTAGGAAGGTGGAGAACCCCTGCAGGAGATGGGATGCGGTTTTCCAGTATGAAGCAGAAGGTTCCCTGCAGTTTTTCCAAGATTATTCTGAGTCATTCTAAACCCTTAAAGCATAGTTTCAATGTAAGACAACAGGGCCTGTACAGTATTTAGCACACAGAAAGTCTCTGGATATTAATTTGTAGAACTTTTTTTTTTTTTTATCCTCACCTGAGGATATTTTTCCATTTTTTGTACAGATAGAGATAGGGAGGGAGAGAGAGGAAGGGAGAGAGAAACATCGACGTGAAAGGAACACATCGAGTGGCTGCCACCCGCACAACCAACCAAGGCTGGGGACAAACTGCAACCGAAGCACGTGCCCTCAGCGGGAACCGAACCCGGGTCTCTCCGGACCGCAGGCCAACGCTCTAACCGCTCAAACCGGCCAGGGCTAATTTGTAGAACTTTTGTAACACTGGACAGAGGGGAGCAAATGGAGGGTGGAAGGACACCCCGGACACCAGCAGTGGTCTGGTGCAGGCTTTTGTTTTCGATGTTGCTTCCTCAGTGACTCTCAAAGTCAAAATTAATCTGTGACTCTGAACTCTATGGATCACTAACCATATGTATTTAGATGGAGAGCCTTTGTAACACGACTTACATGTGCACGCCATCATTCAAATTAGGCAGGTTTCAACGTTAAGTGCTGAGGTTTGTACCGCCATCTGAGTTAAGCCAGAATTACCTTTCCCAGAGGCCCCTTCCCTGGGTGGTTGTATGTTGGAATTGGCTCAAAGACGTGCCTGGGAGAGATTTGGAAGACAAATCTCTGAAGGTCATCATAGTCAAATATGGTGACAGAGGTGCCTCTCCCCATTGTCCTCGGGTCCACCTCCATCTCTTCTTCCAAGCGTTGACTTTGAGTGCTGACCTCACCGCTGGGCATCTGGCTGTAAACGCACCGCACTGGTCTCTGCGTGGCAGCGACAGCTCCCCACAGAGCTCCCGACATGCCCGCTCAGCCCACTTCAGCAGGAAATGTGTTTGCTTCTCGGATGATTAGCTGGTTTGCACACCTCCGTCCACACACTTCCTGCAGATTTTCTCAGTTCCTCGCAGGGTCGTGTGGGGTCTAATTCCTGTAACGAATCCTGATTCCCTTCGCCCTGAGGGCAGCTCTTCTCCCCCGATTCACCAACCAAACCAAACAGAAATCCCCACCTGGACACTGAGGGTTCTGCACAGAAGAAATGTTTATACATGTTTTCTAGTAATGAGGTCCCTGAGGGCTCATAATGTCCTAAGTCTAAGAGGGCACAAATGGTATCAAAAGAAAGACAGCCCTGAGGTACACACGCAGTGTGTGTGGGGAGAATACGAAGCTTACTTGGCTTAACCCTCTGCCTTTGCTCACCCTCATGCAGTGATGTAAGTTGGTCCTATGCATTTTTCTTTCCCTGGCGGAGTCACAGGCGAGACTCTGTCCAACCTGTTTCCACAGGCTCACGTCAACAGTGCCCTCCGCCCAGCGATCGCCTAACAGCACTCACTGGCACAGACAAGGGATGGGGTTGGTCTCATTAGTGCTACTATCACACCCCGTGTAGAGGTGTTACAACCTAACAAGCACTTGGGTAGCGATACTACAAACAGAAGACGCCAGTACTTCAAATGATTTCACTGAGGGTTAGGTAATATTCACACTTTGACCCATAGGTGTTCACCAGGCATTCCTTCACTCCTGGGCTGAAAAGCAAAGATCCAAAGTTTCTTTAAAAAAAACCAAACACCATAAAAGTGTGCACATAAATTGTTTTATTGCTTTCTTGTTTCTTATTTAATGCAGAGTCAATGTTTTTGAGGAACGGTCAGAAGATGTCCAGATTTCAATGTTATTAAACATTCAAACAGTAAAACATGTGGAAAGAAGCCCTCAAATGTTAACGTCTCCGTTATATCTGGTGGAACAACTTGGATAAATGCTACTGGACTTGTCGTTTTGGTTCATGAAGAGAACTGCTCTCCTGACAGAGGAGACAGGAAAGGTCCCAAACATCAACCGAGGGTTTAGGCACTGGGGGCAGCACACTTGTCTTGCTTTGAAATGTTGGGGGAGAGTTACAATGATGCCAAATAGGAGGATCCTTCCTTTCATCTCAGGCTTAATTAAGAGTCAAAAGAAACTCCTGTGGAACAGAAGTGGCGAGGACAAAGATTTTCAGCTGGTATGCCACAAGAAGTTTTAAAACATGTGACATCTGGCTACTTAGTCAGGGGCACTGACCTCTTTTTCCTTGGATTGTCACATAAATAAATAAAATGGCAACAGATAACACAACAATAGCCATCTGGTGTGAATGAATAAAAATCATACCTATTTTTTTTTTTTTTGGTCAGACCAGCAAAAAATATATTTTTTGGTGCGCTGCAGAATTTCAGTAATGAGCTTGTGTGTGCCACAAGGTGAAAAGGTTTGAAAACTGATGGGCTAGGATGATAAAGACCAGAAGTGACTCTGTTGCCGAGGAAGTGACATGAGCCTACGCAGTCCCCTTCTGACCCGCCCCTGTAGACACCACCGATTCGGAGCGCATGGGAGGCCCACAGTGACCAGGTGAGACCGTGAGCGGCTTTAGCTTGTTGAAGGCACAAGGTCCTCGTCGTCCTGAGGGAGGGGGAGGGTCACTGTGTTGGGAGTTATGTTCAAAACACACATCCTACCACCAAAACACTGTTCGCAGCTGCCATCCATTTGACTGCAATTGAGACGGATCTCTTTTTGAAAGTTCCCAAATCTCTGGCACCCCTAAAAATCCTGCTGTGGCCGACTACCTATGCAAGGAATCAGACTCCCAGGGGTTGGAGGCTCAAAGGGACACACAACGGTGTTACGTCATAAAACAGGCAAAAATAAATATACAACTATAACTTGAATATGAAACACCACGAAGAAATAAATATCAGGTTCTACAGCTGCAGGCTGCATGCTAGCAATACCTTGTGGAGTCCTAAAAATGGTGATTTTCCCCATAAAACATCTATCTACAATGACTTTGCTCAACACTTAAGAACTAAGCAAAAAAATGTATGAAAATACTTTTTTTTAAAAGAAAAAAAAAAGAAACTTCATTAAATACCATGAATAGTGATCAAGTTCAAGATGCCAAATTGAAACAAATCGCCTTGACCCTTCCTAATGCTCACCTTGGCCTTCCGTACAGAAACGGACAAGGGCCGCCTGGACCCGCCGACGATGCCGAGGGGCAGTCATGCGGCCTCGAGGGACAGCGCTGGACCGTCTTTGCCAGAGGAATCAGCTCGAGCCCTCTGGTTTGAAATTCCACAGTATTAAGAATGCTCTTTACAAACACAGTGATACTGGAAAAGAAAACACAAAAGTGCATTTATTCATGTCCATGCCATCTAAATCTACTGATTACAGTAATCAGGACCAATTAGAACCTAAACAACAACAAAAACACGGGGACATGCGTCCCCCCGAACCGCAGGCTTCAGTTCAGAAGACTCCGCATGCCGGCCGGCCAGTTTCCTCCCTGAGAAGCATGCTTCACGCTTCCTTCTCTCCCTCCAGCATCTCCTGTCTCTCAGTTAAGGCCTGGACAGTGTCAGGGTAGTGTCGCAAGGTCTCCTCGGGAGCGGCGCCCCGGTGAGGTGCTGTCAGTCACCCGCGGGCTTGGGCTGTGTGAGGCCGAGCAGGGGCCCGCTCAGCTCTGCAGTCCGCCTCTGGAGCTCCTCCACCGTCTGCAGCAGCGCCGACCTCTCCAGCTCCAAGGCAAGGGCAGCCTGCTTCAGCTTGCTTTCATTGGTCAGAAGCTTCTCAACTGTGGCCTCGAGGCTCTGGATCCTACTGTTTGCCACCTGGAGAATAAGAGGAAATATGAGAATGCAACTGCCCAGTGATAACACGGAGGGGTCCCCAGTCCACGCCCCCGTCCAGCCTTGGGGGAGCTGTGGAGCCCTATTTCAGCAGAGAAGAGCCTACTGTTTCTATCAGTTCTTCTGGCCACACAAGACATCTTGCAGGTAGTCTGGGCCACCAGAGACCCTCCCTCGCTGTGGCCACTTTGGAAGCTGCAGGCTGAGGTGGTGGCTCTGCAAAGCAGAAGGGGCCCAATCTCCAAGTCACCCACTACAGGATGACAGCTCTGCTGGGGCCAAAGGATGCTTCCTGGAGGGAGGTGGAGCTTTGGGACAAGGACTTCGGTGCCAAGCCACAGCCTGGTCTATTTTGACGACTACAAATATTTAACAAATACACATTGATTTCAAACTGACCGTCCAAAGGGACTCCATGTAAAGGCCCAGGTAGTAAGAGCTCTCTAATCTGCAATTCTTTGTGTTTTCCTAACGGTGACAGACAGCACTCTGCCTAGGAACATGGGCACTTCCCCTGGCGGTGTGGAGAGCTCACACAGCCACGCGTTCTGCCAGAGGCTCACATGCTGGGTCTCTCAGCCTGGTCACCGCCACCCCGGACCTCAGCCAGGCCTCATGGTCCCCTGGTCTGCACCCTCAGCAGCCAGCACAAAGTTAATGCCAGTCGGGCGGAACCTCCAGGTGCTGCTCTCTTGCACTCACTCGGCAGGCCTCCCGGGCAATGAGAGAGTGGGCGCTGGCGAAGCTGAGGGGTTTCCTGAGAAAACCACAGACACTGTGTGTCCCGAGGCCTCTCTCCCGGGCCTCGCTCACAGCTGCAGTCTGTAGCGCTCCGGTCACGGGGTCATTAATCCAGCCAAGCCCTCTACAGGTCCCCGTTTATTTCAGGTGGGAAATTAAACTATTTTTTTCTCATTTTCAAAGAGGAGAAACAGTGTTTTGAACAAGGTGACACTTGTGCCAGACAGACAACTCATGACTCCAGGTCTAGCTCTGGCTGTGCCCCTAGGACACTCAGGACAGAAGGAGAAAGGACTGATCGGAGTTCGTCAGCCCACCGGGCAGGGGTGCTCACACTTGGTATGCACCTCCCAGCAGGACTTTGATCCTCTGTGTCCCCCCCCCCCCCCGTGGTCAAGGCCTGGGCCGGGCTCCACCACACCCCCAGGAAGGATCGCTCACCCAGAAGCCCACAGCATTCTGGGGTGCACCCCGCAGCGTAGCAGGGAGCTTCATGCAGGGTCACGGACTGCTCTGCACGGCCATCGGGTCTCCTCAGTGAAACCAAGCTCTTCCTTGAGAGTGTGCCTCATTCCGCACAGGCACCAAGCTCGTGGGCACTCAGTGACTTGTGGCTGACTGTCATGAAAACGCCCGCCTGCTCTTACTTGGCACCATCTGACCTGTCTATGCGACTGTCTTACGTGTGCTGTGGGAGCAAACAGGTTCACAGATCGGCCTCCAGCTGCTAGACGATGTTTTAGAGCATTTAACAAGACAGAAAATGGGACTTTGAAATGTCTAGCAGCTCTATGGACAGAACAAAGCTAGAAAACAAGTCAGTTTTGATACTTTGGCCAAATGAAAAAAAAAGATTTATGTTGTAAAATTAAGCATTGTGTTGAACACCTATCCTTGAACTCTGAAAAGTGCTACAAAAAAGACAGGAGGGGAGAGTTTCACAGAACTCAGAGTCTGGCTGAAAGACAGGCAACCCATGAGACTCATAGAGGGAAAGGGGAACACTACAAGCACCCACAAATGGACACACCACAATCTGTACCCCAACTCTTTGAGAGCAACAGTGTCTTACAGATCTTAGTGGCCCCTGGCATCCCTTCCAGCAAGGATTTGGTCAATACTGGTGGGTTGGCAAAGGCTGTAGCACTGGATGGTACCTCCAGAAATACAGCCACTTGGTCAAGAGAAAGAACATTCCAAGGAGAACATCTGTTATCACTGTTACTGCCTGATGCCTTTCTTGAGGAATATGGATTTCAGAGCAGCTTTTCATGACTTCCTCTCTTCTGAAAAGGGACAGGATCACTGAAGCAACATAAAATCACTCTTCACCTTCATCGCGCATGTGCACACACACACACACAACCCACCTGGACACCAGCCCAGCAGAATGAACCTTTTATTTGAGTAGTGCCTATCTTAACCAGCCAAGTGCTTCAAATGCAAGTGTGGGCTTCGTTAGAAATGCTTCCATCGGTTATATTTCAGGGACCCACTGTTAGGAAGTCATCAGAAATGACCACCTACGCTGCAGACCCCCTACAGGCCAGACACGGCTCTTTACCCCGCCCTTCCCCACACCTTGCAGCGAGCGGTCCTGGAGAGATTGTACACAGACATATTTGCACTTAGGACCTCTCAATCTTCGGGGAGATAGCAGCTAAATTTCCGAACGTGACAGGTAGTTAGGGCTGGGAGGGGAAGCATTTTTCTTTGTTCCTCCACAGTAAGTATCCCCTCGGGTCTATGGGGACAGAAGTGCACTTCACACACGGCTGATTTATTAGGCTCTCAAATGCTGGCCTTTCTCCTATCACCACCAAGCTGGTGTCTGCAAAGTGGCAACTTCCTATGGAGAAATATAAGAGGCTCAGTTCAGGAGGGAAGCTTATTCTCAGGTCAGCCCAAGAGCACCATAAAATACGCACTTGGGGCGAGTATGTGTTTTTCTGTGTGGAAACTCAAAAAATATTTTTTATAAACACTCCACAAACAAGTCCTTAACCCTGACAGCATGGCCACCCACTTACGGTGTTTAAAAAAGAGAGCGAGTGATTCCTGCACGCCATCTGATTGGCAAAGGAGCCAAGTGCCGAGCAGTGAGGTATTCTTGTCCTTGTCACCAATGAGGGAATGGGGACGGAGCAGGTTCGGGTCTGCCCAGGGTGACCGCGTGGGGGGCGTGGGAAGACCAGGTCTCGGGACTGCCCTCCGTGCCCACCCACGTCACCCTCTGCGTGCAGTGTCCGCCTTTCTGCAGTGCCCCCATCCACACCTCTCCACGTGCAGTGGGAAGCGTCCCGAGTGGAGCAGCGTCCCTTCGTTGATCAGGCCTTGGGATCTGCACCAAGGACCCACGCTGCGTGACCCTCTCCTCTGGTCTATTTTGTAAAGCACATGTCGGTGTCGCTTTCCTGCCCTAGTATCCCTCTGCGGGCCTGGCTGGTTTTGCTCATGGAAGCTCCAGCCTTTGACTCTCCTGTCATCACTCAAAGCACGACTGCTGGCCTTCAGCTAAGAGCACCCCGGCGCCCTGAATGCAAGTTCACCTCTGCGCCCGCCTCTGCTGGGGCAGGAGCAGCCCCTCGGAAAGCTGTCAGCAGAGGACAATGTCTGCTGCCTAAGAGAACGGCCCAGCTCTCCGGGGATACCTTTGATCCCGGCTATAAACCGACCGGGGACAGAGAGGTCCTGCGGTCATGGGAAAGCCCCGCCTGCCGGTGCCTCTGGCGAGTTAATGAACTACCACCACACGGAGACCAGGCGGCGTCACCTGCAGCTGTTCCAGGAGGTCAAGGTTCTGCTTGCGGAGGCTGCTGTTGGTTTTCTCCAGTTTGTCCATTCTTTGGTTGTCACTGAGAGGAGAGGAATCGATAAGTTCTTCTTGAAGCACGTGGTACTCAACTTCATACGCTTGTAACTGTTTGGAGATGTCCATCTCAAACACCTGTTCAATGCAGAGAAGCCATCAGGCACCGAAAGTGAGAACAGTCACACACGCACACACAGGCCACCGAGTCAGCAGCACTCACCGGACACCTCCTCTGTGCCCGGCATATCCGTGATAATTACCTTTCTGCACGGAGAAGGTGATCACTTTACTGAAGAAAGGATATAAGAAGCTTTTAGAACTAAACCTAAGATAACAGTAGGTGTGGGTCTCTGATCATTCCTTTTCCAGAAGCCGAAACCTCATTTTTTAAAAGGCTCACAACAGCCCTGGCTGGTTTGGCTCAGTGGTTAGAGCGTTGGCCTGCGGTCCAGAGAGACCCGGGTTCGGTTCCCGCTAGGGGCACATACTTCGGTTGCAGTTTGTTCCCGGCCCTGGTTGGTCGTGCGGGTGGCAACCACTCGATGTGTCTCTTTCACGTCGATGTTTCTCTCCCCCTCCCCCCCCCCACTCTATCTGTACAAAAATTGGAAAAATGTCCTCGGGTGAGGATAAAAAAAATAACAATAAAAATAAAAATAAATAAAAGGCTCACAACATTTATTTTGAGTTCTTATTCCAGCACTTATTTTTTTTTCTCTGAAAACTCTATTAGGTTTACATCCACTGTGGGTCAAAGGGAGGAAGCACAACAAAAGCATCGCAGCCCTATCTGCCCAGTCACCGAGTCAAAGTTTAATTATAGTTCAGCTAGGTTTTCAGACTTACAAGAACAGCTAAGTAATGGAACTGTTTACTAAAAACCATTCTTTGCACACAAGACATGCAGAAATGAGCCAAAACCCAAATGTCACCCACACAGATGAGTGAATACGAAACAATGCTTGAGTTGCCTTCCTTCCCATAATAGTAACAGTGATGAAAAAACCACCTTGTGAAAAACAACCCCAAGTGCACGAGTGAGGCAGAGGTCCTGTCTGTACTTTCTCTTGGTGAGCGCCCCGATGGAGGCAGGGCTGAAGAGGGGGGCAGAGGCTGCTGCCCCAGGCATCTCCCCTCTTTCCTGGTGTTTGTGTGGGGTCACTGCATTCGGCTGTGCCTCTGGGCACCCAACACAGACCTCGGGGAATCTGAGAATTGAGTCACCGCACAAAGAAGCCAGTGTGATCAGAGCACGTTTGTTTAGAGGAGGATATTAGGATTTACAAGAGCAGAAACTGACTCTTCACTGCATGTCTTTAAGAAAGAAAGGCCAACAGAGTTAAAGTCAATGAAACCCTCACTGCCCCTGATGGCACTCTATCAGCACCCAAACCCAGGTGAGTCCTGTCTCCCCTGAAATCAGTTTTCAAAAACCCTGTTTGCATTCTCACCTTTCACAACAATCTTATTTTGTCTTCCTTAAGGTTAGTTTCTCAACTTCCTGGTTTTCCATTGAATTCAATGGATAATACTAATTAGGCATGCACATGTTGCTATGCTAAGAAACTAATTCGCACTGTATCTGTGGCATGTATGTGAGCTGCTTTTGTATTGACCCGATTCTCTGCGGTGCCTCAGAGGCTGTGAGGTCAGCAGAGATTAGCATCTCTATTTTCAGTGGAGGAAACTGACTCAGAGGCTTTGAGTCTGTCTCAGATCAGGCTCCACTGCCACCTCCTTGAATGACCTTGAGCTAGTCACTTGACCTCTCCCAGGCTCAGTTCATGGCCTCCCAACACAGGGGTGACACCACCTACCCCCTAGCACTGCGGTGGGAGTTACAGGAGGCGACTTTGGAAGTTGCCGGCACCTGCCTGGCAAGTTGAGTAGGCGGCGCTCACTCAGCTAAGGATCAGCTTCCTCACACTTGTGCAACCGTCACCTTCAAGCTCCTGCTTCAGCAAAATGACAAAGGGTGCCACAGCATGGAACCTCTGCACTGCTCCACAGAGTGAAAACCGCCAACACTAAAACCCAGACTGCTGCGGCATTGGTGTGTGATTATAAACGTGGTGCGGAATAAAGTCATGCACACAGCTACCTTTGTTTCTTCACCCAAGATTTATTTTGAAAGGAGCTCCTAACCTGGAAAACTTGGGAACAGAACCTCTGTCCTTTTATACAGATTGATGATCTGCTCAGGTTAATGGCTCCCAACTGTGCCTGAAGCTATAAACCCTTCCAGGTCTCCAATAATACTTAGGAACCCTCCTGGGTCATAATCTCTCGGCTTCATTGCACCCTTATCTCCTGTCTCCCAAAAAACTTAGGGCCCTCAGATTTTGCAGAGATGCTCCAGAATTTATCCCAAACAATGGCAGCATGTGGTTGATGGTAAAAAGAGCCCTGATATCCTCAAACAATGCTTTTTTCAAGTTGCTATATATTCTTCATAACCATAAATATAAATGGCTTCATGGTACTCTACCAACTCGGCATATGACAACCAGCCAATCCATTCATCTCTACCAACTCGGCATATGACAACCAGCCAATCCATTCGTCTCTACCAACTCGGCATATCACAACCAGCCAATCCATTCGTCTCTACCAACTCGGCATATGACAACCAGCCTATCCATTCGTCTCTACCAACTCGGCATATCACAACCAGCCAATCCATTCGTCTCTACCAACTCGGCATATCACAACCAGCCAATCCATTCGTCTCTACCAACACGGCATATCACAACCAGCCAATCCATTCATCTCTACCAACTCGGCATATCACAACCAGCCAATCCATTCGTCTCTACCAACTCGGCATATCACAACCAGCCATCCATTCGTCTCTACCAACTCGGCATATCACAACCAGCCGATCCATTCATCTCTACCAACTCGGTATATCACAACCAGCCAATCCATTCATCTCTACCAACTCGGCATATCACAACCAGCCGATCCATTCATCTCTACCAACTTGGTATATCACAACTAGCCAATCCATTCATCTCTACCAACTTGCTATATCACAACCATGTCAGTCCATTCATCTCTACCAACTCGGCATATCACAACTAGCCAATCCATTCATCTCTACCAACTTGGCATATCACAACCAGCCGATCCATTCGTCTTTACCAACTTGGCATATCACAACCATGTCAATCCATTCATCTCTACCAACTCGGTATATCACAACCAGCCAATCCATTCATCTCTACCAACTCGGCATATCACAACCAGCCGATCCATTCATCTCTACCAACTCGGCATATCACAACCAGCCGATCCATTCATCTCTACCAACTTGGCATATCACAATCATGCCAATCCATTCATCTCTACCAAATCGGCAAATCTATCAAGTGCTGGCTGTCCAGTTACTTACATGTTTTTATTGTTATAAATGACAACTCTAAATATGCTTGCACATATGGCTTTTCCCATATTTCAGATTATTTTCTAAGAATACATTCCAAGAAACAGGATTACTAAGTCAAAGGGTATGAATATTTTACTGTTTTGTGAACATATTGCCAAATTGCTTCCCAAATGGGAACGATCAATGTACAATGCCATTAGCAAGATACGAACGTGCCAGACACAGTATGCCCTTGGCATTGTGTACTGGCATTAAAAATTTTCGTTTGGTTAATCTAGTCAATAAAGCATTCTATGTTATTTACATTTAAATCACACACGAAGCTAAATATTTCCCCAGATGTTGTTTACTAGACGGACCTCCTCTTTAGTGAACTGTCTGTGTTCTTGGCTCATGTGCTGTTGGAGACTCCCAGTTTCTCTCTGCAGTCTGCGGACACTGTGTAATGAGCCGTGAGCCCTGGTGTCTGCACCACTGGCCACGTATTTCCCACGCCGCCCCCCCAGACCCTGTCCCCTGTCTGTCGGTCTCAGAGGCACACCAAAGGCAGAGAGTGGAGCAGGTATGGGCAGTAAGGGAGTGGTGTCTGTAGTGAATTTAAAAACAGTAATAAACCCCACTAATAGTTGGTCTGCTTTTTATTACCACCACATGCGAGCAATTCTAAACAATGTCAGTGGTAAAATAAAATATCCCTCCCACCCTGCCACACCCTCTAGGTCTGGCACTGATTGGCCTTGTAAAAGGGAACTGATTTTCAGCAGTGCCAACTGCCCAAGCAGCGAGGGCTCCGCCCAAAGGCAGAAGAGGCCGCCTGGCCACTGATCTCGAGCCTTCTGAACAAAGGAACCTTGTCAAGATTCCGGTTTCAACCCTACAGGCTCAGCTCGAACAGAGAATTGCCTAGTGTGTTCACAGTGAAGTTGCCCACAGCAGAGCTGTCCAAACGGTCCCAGCTGTGAGTCCCCCAGGGATCTTGTTAACAGGCAGATTTTGACTCAGCAGGTCTTGGGTGGGACCCTAGAGTCTGCATTTCTCACAAGTTCCTACCTGATACACTGACAGGCTGTGCCACACTTTAAATAGAGCCCAAAGGATGCTGAAAATAGGATCTCTGCCCTGTCTCCCCAGCTACACCCTCAACTATTTTCCTTCCTTACACTGAACTCAGGTAGATGACACTCACTGTGACAAGAATACAGATCCAACCTCATCTTAGTTTCTGTTCATTCCCAGGGTTTCCCCTGTTCTTGGACCAGGGATCTTTAAGTCACAGGGAGGAGCTCCACAGAGCCTTCAGAGACCTTGTCCTCTGCTCTGGGCTCTCAGGTCTGGACCTGCCCTCCGTGGCTGCCCCAGCCCCTCCATGCTGACTGAGCCAGGGTTCCAAATTCCACGGTTCCAGAGCTCTTCCCCCGCTACTTTTTGTCCCATCCTGGATGCAGGCTGTGTCCCCGCCGCTCAGCCCTGACCACCCATGAACCGGAGCCGTGGCTCTCACGGACGACACCCAGGCCTGGCCATCCATGCAGGACCACTGTGTGAGTGAACACAGTCCCTTCTACCCTGTGGACTGCCAAGGTTCGAGCCCAGGGGCTGTGTAAGACCGAGAGGAAGCACACAGCACCGTGGGGCTCATCTCTGAGTAGGCCTAGACTAGAGCCCCCTCTGGAGGGCACAGGGCACAGGGCAGTCAGCGAGGCAGTGCGCCAGGTGGAAAGCATGGCAGGGAAAGGGGAAAGAGCCACCTGGCAGAATAGAAACCTGGGCCCACAAATGCACATTCTTGTGTTCCCTACACAACTCTTTACTCCCCAACCATCACTCACACACACACACACACACACACACACTCGCAGCTGAACCTGTCAGGCATCTGGAATTTCTCTCTGCTCTCTCACTCCCCTGCCTTTGCTGCGCTGGGGTCAGGGGTCAGCAAAATACAGCCTATGGACTGAACCTGTCCCACTATATGTTTCGGTCGATAAAGTTTTACTGCAACAGTCACTTCACTCCTGCACACACTTTGTGCCAAAGGGCAGATTTGAGTGGCTGTGGCAGAGAGCTTAGGGCCAACAGAGCCCACAGAATATGTGTGCTCAGCCCTGTCTGGGCTCATTTTTAAAAACAATTTGTTAATTGATTTGAGAGAGAGAGAGAGAGAGAGAGAGAGAGAGAAACATCAATTTGTTGCTCCACTTATTTATGCATTTATTGGCTGATTCTTCTGTGTGCCCGTACTGGGGATCGAACCTGGCCTTGGCGTAGCAGGATGACGCCCTAACCCAATGATCTGCCCAGCCAGGACTTTGGCGCATCTGTTAGGCCCAGCTGAAACATACGCCTTCAATCCTCAAACACAAGCACTCCCTCCACCGGACCGGCCCATGAGCTCACACAAGCACCACTGGAGCCTGCACCACAGTGGGAATTACTGGATTACATGCTTATTTTCTGCACAGGATGGGCTTTGGTGTTGGAGAGACATGCTACATTCCTGGCTCTGCTACATTACACAGGGTGTGGGGCGTGTTCCTCTCTCCACGTCCCACTTCCCCAGCTTTGAAATGGGGATTATAACACACGTTCCAGGTTGTCAAGGGGTCAGTGTTCCAACAAACGCCAAATTCAAAGCAGCTGCCTGAAACAAACCAGGTGCACCCACGAAACTGTTCTCTCCTCATGTTGTATCCACGTCCACTCTTCCAACATTTACAGAGCACCTGATAATCTCAATAAGTGCCTTTTACAGAAAAGGGGAGGAAAATGGGATTTTTCCTGGAGCTCAATATCCAGGAGGGAAGCTGAATGTCAGCTGAGGCTGCAGGCCTCCGTCAGGGAGCAAAGTCAAGGCACTTCCTGGGCAGCCGTGGGTCTAGTGACCGAGGCTCTGCGCTTCCCCAGCGGCCGTGAGTTGAGTGTGTGCGACGAAAGCTCTGAAGAGTCACCGCACACACAGGCCAGAAATGAGCGCATCAAAGGTGGAGAATGGGTATTAACATACAGGTAGAAGACAGAAGACTCTGTTATGAAATGGCACCCGGAGCCCTTGGGGGTGTGGAGCAGCTGCCAGAGCACTTTGAGGCCGGAGGACCCGAGTGGAGACGCTCCCTGTCCACTTCGCAGCAGGTGACTGCGGGTCTGTCCGTATCCACTCTGAGCCCGGGCTCCTCATGGGTTAAAACCACCGCTCCTCTCAGGAGTGCAGTCGTGATGCGGTGAAATCACGTGTATTTATAGATTCACACAGAACCTGGCAAAAGTAGGGCCTGGACAAGCCAGCATTGTTCCCACAGAGAGAAACATGCCAAGGACAAAAACGACAGAGAGGCAGAGCCTGCCCGTGATGAAGCGGCGTGCAGAGGGAACCGCTCGCTCAGGCGTGTCTGTGCGGACAGCCCACGTGGCGCTCGGCATGGCCCCTCCCCTGGCCGTCTTGCTCCTTCTGTGCTCGCCACCCAAGAAGGGGCAGCAGAGGACCTCACAACCCGCGTCTGGGCGTGCACCACCAGGACCGCGGACTCCCTCGGACTAACAGAAATCCTCAGAACGAGGGTTTTTTCCAGAAAGCCTTATTTCACTACTTTCTTTTACTGAATTGCTCTCTGTTTTCATTATATTTGGAGCAGGTGAGGTCAAGTCTAGGCTTACGAGAGTGCCCACTGCTGAATTCCCTTCCAGGCACCTCCGCTCAGCCCTTCAGTGAGCAGTCAGCACTGGGAGAGTCTCCTTCACCAGTCCAAGATGCTCCCACCCCTACTGCAGACCACGGAACAAGTGGCCAGTTGTAACTCCTGGCTCAACTCACCCTTCACCCCTAACATTCCAGAGAGTAATGGTTCTTCTGTACCCAGAAGCCAGAGGTGCTGTAACCAACAGGTGGGGGTGAAGCCTATTAAAATACACACACACACATTGTAGAATAAACTTATATAAAATATACATGCTCTATCTCCACTTTGCTATGAGCTGTTTTTATAAAATAATATTTTCAGCAGAAAATCAACATACTTGTTTTGCAAAAGCCTTTATTGAATAAAGGTATGTATTTTAGAAGAACAAGTGACTACAGGTGAAGTTTCTCAATGATAAGAAACTATGGACAATTTGTGCTGGTATCACACCTAAAGACTGCCATGGTGTCTCCATGTGGCATGTCACCATCACACTCACACACACGCACACTCAGATGTGCATCTGATCACTGGACACAGTTTACAATGCGACTCCTACATGTCTGGCATCACGCAAGATGCTGCCCAGGACACAAAGTGGTAGAAAGTAGTTCCTGCTCAATAATAATAATGATGATAATAATAATAAAGCTTCCACATATCCAGGAGCGCTTAAGCCACTTGAAAGGTTAGGAATGAATCATACCTGATTGATGGTTTTTTCCATTTGCACCAAGCCCAGGTTGGGTAGCGTGTTTTTTATAAAGTCAACTATGGTTTCTAGGTTTTCATGCTGCAGAATCAAGGGCTTATGGCTTCCCAACAGACTTAGAGCCACTTTAAATATGACCTCTGATCCCTGAAGAAAGATCATATCTGGGAAAACACAGAAATGCAGAAAGTTAAACCAGACCAGTTCCTGATGAAATGCCATTCTGTTTCCTTTTCTACACATTACGGAGCAGGGCAGAGGGAAGCATGACCCCAAACTGCAAGTTTTATTTCCTTTTTGAGAGCCTGATATTTCAGATAGGGTTGTCAAGGCAATACTGACAAAAATAAAAAAGAGAGAGAGGTAAACATACTGCTAAAATTTTGTCCTAGGTTTAGACAAATCTTTTTTCTTGCTCCAAAAATATATTAAATTCAACCATGCTTCAAAGTTAAATAAAAAAAACAAAAAACCTTTTTATCAATTTTTCTAGGAATGCTCTAGATTTTAAAGGAGTTACTAAAACATGTTTTTATGGGTATAACACATGCCTTAGACACACAGCATCAGGTATATAGCATTTATATGTAAACATTTAAATAAATATACAGCATAAGATAAAGTTTAAAAAAAAATGCCTGTTTCCTCTATTTTGAAATAAGGGGTTGAATAAAAAGATCTCTAAAAACTATAAAATGTCTACTCAATTCCAAAAGTACATTGTTAAATACAAGTACACTAAATTTTAGCTTAATAATGGAGTGAAAAACATCTTCCTCAGAGGACTTCCAAGAACTTTGCCAGAGTAATTTCCTAGCTCTTACCATATTTTTTCCTACGTTAGCAACCCCTCCGCTGGGACTGTACACAGTGAGAGGAGGGCGGGCGGCCAGCCCTGGCTCCTGTCCCTCAACAGAGTAGCAGCCGCTGCTCAAAGAGAGTCACTGCGTCCGGGGCCAAAGCACAGCCCTAGTCACTAATTGTTGGTGAATAAACTCAGGCAAGTTACCTGACAGATGGAGTAATGTATACATAAGAAAAGATATAATTTCAAAAATGACAGCATAAACCTAACCAGAGGCAATTGTCCATATTTCTCTTTCTCTCTTTGGCTGCAGGATGATGGAAGAGACAAAGCATCTGGAAATTTCATCAAGTCGAGGAAGACGGAAGCAGGCGAGAAGAACCCCCAGCACTGCGCCTCTCTAGGCGGATTCGTGGGATGACGCCTAAGCCGTAGGCAAGCAAAGGCTGGAGGCCTCTGTGCATAAGGGAAGGAGGAGCCTCAGAGAGGTTTGTGGACAGCACACAGGACAAACCTAGGTGCCGACTGGCAGGTTAGCCCTGGAGATGCACTTGACCTTCACGAGGGCCCTAACCTCCTGAGCACACTGAGAGTCAGGTTGGCTACGGCCCTAAGCGATGATGCTGCTGCTGAGGTCAGCCTGTCTCTCGGAGCTCGGGGCCCCAGTTTCCACCAACTTCACAGCTGCTGCGCTTCAGGCAGCCCCAGGGAACCAGAACGTTTCCATCAGCCTCCCTCTTCAGCTTGGCGTGGAGGCGGATCTCTGAACGCCCAGTCTCAGCGGGAGCATCAGGCGGTGCTGTGGGAGAATCTTCCCATGACATGTCCACTGTGTCAGACGGCGTTTACCCATGTGATTCACCACTACAGCAAATCAAAGATCTAAAATACCACTATAACCAAGATGTATTTTTAAACAGAAGAGACATTCCCCCACCCCCCAAAAGAGTCAATTTGAAGATTCTGGGGTTTCAACACCAAGCCTTCCCTTCCAGTATATGAACATTTATAGCTGAACAAAAACTGATGGCATTTATCAGAATAAGTATATTTTAGGCAGGGATCCTGGGGAATGGACTGCACTTCCAGAACAATGACTTACTGTAGCTGGATATCTACAAGTACCTTGAAATGAGATACAGTACTGCTTGGGGAGGGTGGGTGAGCACACAATAGATAGTCGATATATTATAGAACTGCATACCTGAAACATATATTATGTCATTCACCAATGTCATCCCAATAAATTCAATTTTAAAAATTAGATACAGTACTAGTATCTAAGCCAATTAAATAATTATTGGGGATCTTCTTTCAAACATAATCAAATATGTAATCCATATTAACGGTCTGTTAAGGTTAACAATGAGTCTTCCAAGTTTTATTCCTTAAGGGTCTTGGTTTTTATAACAAATCTACTTAGTTGAGTGCTTCCTGTGATTCTGCACTCAGACTCTGCTGGACTGCATGATAAAACAAAAGGAAGTGTGGAGAGTTGTTTTTTAACTCTCTTCATTGGTATGTTTAAAAAACAAAATAAAATATAATTCTGGGTAAGTGTATTTCATTGGGTCTAAGGATCTGTATTTAATATAATAAAAAAAAAATTCTGCCCTGGTCAGTTTGGCTCAGCAGTTAGAGTGTCGGCCCATGGACCAGAGAGACCTGGGTTCAGTTCCCGCTAAGGGCACGTACCTCAGTTGCAGTTTGTCTCCAGCCCTGGTTGGGGTCGTGTGGGTGGCAACCACTCCACATGTCTCTTTCACATCGATGTTTCTTGCTCTCTTCCTCCCTCTCTATTTAAAGATAAATGCAAAAATGTCCTCAGGTAAGGATAAAAAAATTTAAAAAAAAGAAATATTCTTTCCTAATGCTACTTTCAACACCGTAAGAGCACTCTTATCTGCTGAGGTGTTTCTCTAATTTAACAAGCACTCACTGGGCATCTAATACCTGCCGGGCACTGTGCCAGGCACTGGGGAATCAGTCACGAACAAAGAACAAACTGCAGAAACACTAACAACCACTGGTTTGGTAGAGTTATGCCGGGTTGATTTGAGAACAAAAGGGGAGAAAAAGTCCAGGGAAAGGTGGTGGCCAAACGCAGTCTTAGAGAACCAACAGAAACTTGCTAGGTAAGAAGTCAGGGAAGAAGCTCTACTCCGAGCAAAAGAAAAGAAGGTGTAAATACAGAGACATGGGTAGAACCCCAGCCGGGAGGGGGCCTGGGAAGAGGAGGGCGAGGCAAGAGCTCTGGCTGCCGGCTGTGGGCCGGGTCCCCAAGGCTCTCTGCCGGGCCATGCCACTGTGACCTCCCCCACACTGCAGCCGGGGCACCGAGGGCCCTCTGTTCCTTTTTTCTGGGTGGGTCAGTGCACTGGTAAGGCGAGGATGTCAATGAGATCCAGGTTATAGGTCTGATCCTTGAAGGGGTTAATTAGCTTTAGAGAGAGAAAAGCCACCTTCTGAGAGACACTGACAAGCCATGCTGACTCCATCAGTGCACTGGAGTGTGCGCTGCCAGCTGCTCCATCTCCCCTCCTGGAGGCCCCAGTAGGTGCCCATCCTCCCGTGGACCAGCCCCGGTCATCTGCACTAGTGAGCTTGGGGCAGCGCAGCCCCGGGGGCTTCTGTCAGACTGGGAGCCGCAGTAGGCAGTTCCCGGGGGTGCACGAGGAAGGAGGCGCCTGTCGTGTGGAAGGAACGGCCCTCCAAGTTCTGCGTGGAGGAAGAGGCTTCGAAATCTACACTGGTGGGGCGAGAGCGACATCCTGTAAGCAACGATTGCATCTGTCTGCCTCTGGAAATTTAAAAAATTCAGTAATTTTTAAAGAATGGCAAGGAAAAATGTTACCTATAAACCACTGCCCCAGTCCAATTATTTTCATTTTTGCTCATCCAACCCTTATACATTTACATTCTGAAACTGTTTTTTTGTTTTGTTTTTGTTTTTAAACAAAAACAAAAACAAAACAAAACCAATAATCTCCTTGGAAAAGTGACTGAATGTCCCGCACTGGGAAATCACGAGGCAAGAACGTGACCCGCTGGACCACCCAGCAGCCCAGGGCCGACTGCCCAGCTCACACTGGTGGCTTCCTTTCTCCTCTCCTTTCTCAAGACACCTAGAAACAGGCAAAGGGCTGTATCAGGCAGGAAGTCCAGGGAACCTTAAATTCAGCTGACTCCGGCGCTCTGCAAATTATTTGCTGAGAACAACGCAAATAGCTACTTTCCTCTGAAGACACGTGGGCAGTCCTCTGTTGTGATGACGGGTATGGGAACTCTATTTGAAACTCCCCGTGATATAGAAGCGCAGTCTTCGTGGGGGGAGCGATGCCCGCCAAGCACACTGCCAGTAAGCGAACTGACACAGCACCCCTTTTCCAGCCACCTGTCTGTCAGGGGCAACCGCTCTCCTTCACTTCCCGTGGGAGGCTGTGGCCGTCCAGCTGTGACAGACACCCCCACACCCGACCCAGAGCAGGTAGGCGGGAACGAAAAATGACGAGAGCCCAAACAGATCTGCAAACACACTTCATCACCGTGGTATCACGTTGCTGAGGAGCCATCTTCCCTGGCTGGACAAACCCGCCCGTTTCCCATCCACTTTAGTCCGAAAGCCTCTCTGAATCCTTCCCCGCAGTACAGGTGACTTCTGTTTCCTGCCAAACCCTCAGTTTTTACATTCCATCTCCTCGCTCATCTACTTGGAAGTACATCCTACAGAAAACTTCAGCAGCCTCCTCTTCCACTGGGAGCAAGCCTGGGCCTTTCCCCCAAAGGCAGACATGATTAGGAGGTGAACTGAGCCAGCACCTCTCCGGGAGCCTGCCCTCCCAAACTGGGGAAATACAGGAGGCGATTTTGCATGATGTGACACCCAGCCGGAAGGGCTGACTTTTAGAAAGGTGTGACTACCGGGTACCTTACTGACGCAGGCTAAGGCACACATGCCGTGGCAGCTGCCGTCTGAGGAGCACGTCCTTGATTCGGGTCACCTGATCATTGACACGGTAGCTATGCTGACTCAAGCTGACGGTCCTTTACTTACATATAAAATCGTGGATAGTTAACAAAGGTCCAATTGTTTTCAGGGTTTATCCAGGCCGAAAGACTGAAAATGAAACAGGCTTCAGACCAAAAAGGACTACAGGGTCTGAAGGGTAGACTCTGCGATTTAATACAAAGCAATTCACCATCACATAGCTAAACAAACATGGTTTAAGTTACCGAAACAAAGTTCAGAATAGTTTTCTAAAACCCGTCTTTCCTAATAAAACAGTTTGTTTTTAAGGACTGATAGATAGGATGGATCATGCAAAAAAAACCCCAAAAAACAACAAACCAGCTGTTTTC